ATGCATAGACAATGTTTATTATAAATCTAGTCTATTATAAATCATTCATTGATGATTACAGATTGCCAGATATAATTGGTTATATTATAACCAATATATAATTGGTTATATCTGGTTATATTACAACCAGATATAATTGGATCAATTTGATTAATAATTATAATATGATCACCACGATTACTCGTCGCAGTCACTTGCAAAAGTAACCAAAAAACAATCGACTGTCCTGGCACAGTGTCAGGGCAAACGATTGCTAAACGTCACATGCCAGTAAAAAAGCCAAAGGTTCGCAGTTCTCTGTGGCAAGGTGTGGGACAACAAGCCACGTTAGCGGCGCGACGTCATTGTTGACCGAATCGATTGTTTGTAATCCGTGGATTACGTAACAGAAGACACGCGAGCGCGGATTTTCCGCGGTGGTTGTTTACTGGTTGCGTCACGGAGACGCATTTTGTTTTCGCGAGGCTCAAATTCCGCCAGCAACAGCACACGCGCGCGCGCGCGCGCGCGCGCGCACACACACACACACACACACACACACACGAGTGTGTTTATATACTTGCACTCTACGTATTATAAACTCGAATGTACATAGTACATAATTCGCGACTCGGTAAATAGACCGTAGCGTCTGATCTATTTTGTTTCCATTCTGCGTTGCTTTTTACGCGATCGCGTGCGCGTGTTTCATTGGGAAATCGGCGTTTCGAGATATCGGAAACGCGTGGAAATCGGCACAGTTGACACGTCAACTAACGGTAATTATTCAATACTGTATCACTATACATTGGGACCTCATATAATAATGTCCTCATGTACAATGAGGACATGTGATTTATGAATAATTTTATTCTTTATTCAATTATGAATCCATCTGTATTAGTGAACTTTTCAATAGCAACAACGATTTCAATCGTAGAACTAGAAGACACTTTGGACGATTTGATCTCGTGATTTCTTTTGTGATTCAATTTGAAGCTAGATTTTGAAGCTTCTTTCTGACGCGACACTGATTGGTTTCCGGTGGGTAAAACGTTATCAATCACGTGATGGCTATAGTCGGTATAACATAAATGCTAACTATTAGAAATTACTTAAAACCTGCATTCTATTTACATATATATATGAACTAATTGAAATACGAATGTGTGTATAAAATATTCTAGCAAACTATATGAGATGAAATAACACGAAATAAAATTATTTCAATTAATTTATAATAATAGTGTAACCTCTGGCGCTAGCACTAAATATTTAATTTAACTATCTAAATCAAACTTTCATTTGATTAAATTTAATGTTTATATTATTACATTTTAATTTTTTAAATCTATTTCTAGATAGGGCTGAAAAATGTAGAAATTTATCGTTCCTTTAGATTTTAATTATTTCAAAATAATACGATCATGTTCTTACGTTTATCTGACGCTTATAAATTCTTGTGTTTAACATCAAAAAATTATTGAATCAAGAACGTAATTAAGAATACCTAATGATATCTGTTTCATTATAATATATGTTCTTACGCTTTTGATAACACATGACATTACATCATTTTCGTAAATCTTTCACAATTTAAGTAAAGAATTTCTTGTATTTCTGGAGCGTGAGGCCATATTGACGTAATATTTTCGGTTGTTGTTTGTCGATTATCATGTTCAATGCAAGCCGTGTTTTTAATGTTTCGGACCACGATGGAACTTAAATGTTATAAATATATATTAAAAATATATAAAATATTAAATACATAATAAAAACATGTAAAAAACTGGAGAAGTAAGTTAACAATAGTGGAAACATAAGTCGTATATCTTTCTATCTGGTCATTATAGCCTGATCTCCGCTGCATCTTCAGCTTTCTGTATCGAATAGAGAACAATTTAATGTTGTGAGAATTTGCGAGAGAAGGCCTGGATTAAAGTCGGATCGGCTTAATTTATAAATGCCCGGCGTCGTCGAGTACACGCGAACTCTCGATAGCACGGTTCAAGTTTTGAATTCTCCGAACGCCTGAGCCATTGCTGTTTTCGAACGGTCAAGGATTTTAACATTCCCCAACGAAAGAATGGTATTCCTTTGTGCATCGCGTTGCACCAAACGACGCGAGCTGTTTCTGCAGATTGCACGAGATGATGCTTGAAGCGTCAGCCGTTCGATTTTGTTTTCGTATTTTCATAAATCCCATTAACACTAGATTTCCAAAGCGCTAATTCATGCTATGTGTGTAAAACTAATGAGAATATATTTATTCGGATATTTAGCGATTCTTATCGTGGGCTAAGATAATGATCTTACTGAACAAATTCTCAATAAATTTAAATTGTCGATTTCTCTCTCTCTCTCTCTCCAATAATTTAACTGTCAATTTCCGGGACGTGAAGCGCTGTTTTTTGTTCACACTGCCCATCGTCCGATCATGATACGTTGACTCCCGTTCGTCGACCGGTGGAAGTACTACTTTTATCCCGAAATTGGCTAAATATTCGCTTCTAACAATCGAGTCGCGAGGGAGCGGTTCTGTGAATGGCGAGTATAACCGACGTATCTACCGGAAGTCCGGCCTACAGGTTCCGGCCCGCGTAGCACTCTCATCTCGTTGTCTCGCGTGCATTTTTTCTCTTTCTCTCTCTCTTTTTATGCTCGCACATTGACGCAGCTGCAGAAGTCGAGTGCGACTGCAGGTGGAACCGAATTAGATTATGAACACGGCGTCGCTTGTTCCATGCAACACGACGAGTCTTTGCCGATCTGGCGCATGCCGTTTGAAAATACTCGGCAATTATTACACCATTTTCTAATAAGCAGAGAACAATTCGATTTTCTGCTTGATAGTGTAGCTTGGCAATGTATGTATGTACTGCTGATCGAACGAAGCCGTTTGTCACGCGGATTTAACACTAGAATTAGAGTCCTAAACGCGACTGGCGTATATTGTTTTGTAACAATGCCAAGACTGGATTTATTTCAACTTCGTATGATTTATATTTTAATAGATACTTCAATGGAGAAGTGTGCCTGGAAATTTCTTCTAGAAATATTTGTATAAAGACAGGAACTGTGAAAGAAAAAAAATCGGAAACCAGTCATTTTACTGGCTTGGTAGTTCTAGTGTGGATGAATTTATAAAATTAGGTAGATGAGGTTTAAAACAGCAGTAAGATTGAAAGAACGGAGAATACATATATAAAATTCTAAATATGTATTTGTAAATCGCGTATTTTACTGCTACTGGATTTTATGCATTTGAGAGAAAAATGAGAATTTGAAACAATGCACAAAATTAAATAATTGGAAGATACCAATATACCATTTTCAGTTTGTTAAAGTTATCATCGAAGAATATAAATCTCTAAGCGACTCTTGATTTTTGTAACAAATGCAGACAATTTTAATTTTACATGAAAATCTATAAGTAACTCTTGTTTTCTGTAACATATACAGAAAATTTTAATTTTATTTTAATAAATATCAGCAGCGACTGTTATCCAAGATATCATGACAAATATCCAAGCGACTGTTTCATTAAGATAAAATTTCGAAATATTCTGTTACATAACAATTTCAGGAGATATTATTTGATTTTGTGACTCGGGGTACTTTGTTGTTTGATAGTGAAAATTACTATTGCTGTTAACAAAGTAAAATAAATCCCAAGCTCTGAATCGTAGGTTCCTTTAGGATAAAATACATTTCTGTTTAGCTCCTCGATCACGTAACTAATCCACAAAATTGTTGTCTTACATTTTGCAATGTAGTGATTCTTGTTATTAACATATTGCAGAAAAAAACATATCAATGTATAGTAAAGGCGAATAAAATAACGTCAGTTCTTCTATCACGTTTTTTCTAATCTACAATGACTCCAAAAAGCGACTCCAAAACTTTGAAAGAGATAGATAAATACAAAAATATTTCAGATTTCGAGAGAGCATAGTACATTAAAGCTTATGTACATAATCAGTGTATGTATAATATTAGCATACGTGTAATAATGTTTGCACGTATACAAGTGAATAAAACTAAGCTAATAAGCAAATGGAGTAACAATCACAATTGTAGTTGCAATGGGGGTATTTTAATCTGCTACTACTTTATACTGACCTAGATGCAATGGAATGCATAATATAAAACGTCGTAACAGTAGTGGTGCGACTAACATCGTTGACCTTGTATCTAGCATTGTTCGACATATTCTATAATTCTTTTTATTGCCTAATTCTTGAATTTTTAGTTAATTGTATCTGCCTCTATTTATATAATGCCTAAAAACGTTGATTTACCGATGACTTTAAATTTAGAAATTTTAGTTCAATCAACGAAGATCTTAATGCGACAAATCGTTTTATTTCAATCGACTTACATCTTTAAAATAAGAAAGACGTCAAGACTAGTAGCTTGATTAAAATTTCTACTCAATAAATAATTTCCGGACTCAAAGTCATGCGAAGTTCAGTCGATTCGTCTCGACGTCAGGTTCGAACTATATGTTGTCATTTAAAAAAGTCACGGTGACCTCAAAATTATCAGAAAAATTATGATAAATCCAGATAAAATCATAAATAAAAGACAAAAATTTCAAATCCATTCGATTTAAGAAGCAGCAAGTAAAACATTGAATAAAGTTTCTCAGACAAGACACGTGTGGTACCTGATCAACCGTACTAATCGCTCACCCCGTACAATATCGATGATACCGGAGCGCTTGTGTAATGGTGGATTAATAAAAAAAAAACTTATGCAGCGTATCTCAATCGAGACTGTGCACTAAACCGATTGCTAGACTTTTAAGGTTAAAAAAGGTTGTCCATTGCAGTGTCCCATAAGTCAGAAAAGGCGAAAGGTTACCATGAAATAGAAAATGCAAGCGCAGGTAGTCGCCGCATTGATTAAATTATCGGTAACACGTGATTTGCGCGCAGCGCCGAGTGGTTTTCTTATGGTAAAAAACGCGAAATTCCGGCGGCGAAATAATCATGCTTCTCTCATTTGTATTTTTGCAGATTGACTATCCGGAAGTGCATGGAGGAAGGATGCATCGACCACCGCACCCCCATCCCATAACTGACCATCGACAGGTCAACCTGGTCTTCGATGATACGGTAAACATCTGTTTTTTTTTTGTTTTTTTTTTTCGTGAAAATCTTTTTCTGCAGGTAGAAAGCGAACCTTCGGTCCTTCGGTTCGTACTCATTGTATCCACTCACCCTGATCATCCCTTGTTCGACCCGAATTTCTGCACGTCGAGGATGAGTTGTAAATAGATTCAATTTCGAGTCTACTTCGTCGTACCCGGCCGAGGCTATCCGTACTACCAGTCTTTTAGTTGCTCGAAAACAGGAACGTTCAATAACTGTAACTTCGTCCCAGAATAGACGCATCTATTAGTTACGCGCTCAAAATTTCGCGTATGATTTCTGTGAGAAAATTGCACTCCGCTACGATTCGAAAGATTCGTTCGACACAAAAAATCCTTGAAGTCTTTCGTTTGTTTAACTTCAGCAATAGAAACGTTCCAATCAGTAAAGATTATATGAGCCGTTTATTTTGAAAGTGGCATAAGTCACTTTACCGTAATGAAAAGTGATGATTTTTTAATGTTTATACGAAATTATTTATACTGAGAAAAATATCAGTATCCTGAGATAACAAATACAAGTAAATCTTCTTGAAAGTTAGCATCCATATTTTTAAACGTGTTAAAACGCAAACCCTTAAATATATCGACNGTATCCACTCACCCTGATCATCCCTTGTTCGACCCGAATTTCTGCACGTCGAGGATGAGTTGTAAATAGATTCAATTTCGAGTCTACTTCGTCGTACCCGGCCGAGGCTATCCGTACTACCAGTCTTTTAGTTGCTCGAAAACAGGAACGTTCAATAACTGTAACTTCGTCCCAGAATAGACGCATCTATTAGTTACGCGCTCAAAATTTCGCGTATGATTTCTGTGAGAAAATTGCACTCCGCTACGATTCGAAAGATTCGTTCGACACAAAAAATCCTTGAAGTCTTTCGTTTGTTTAACTTCAGCAATAGAAACGTTCCAATCAGTAAAGATTATATGAGCCGTTTATTTTGAAAGTGGCATAAGTCACTTTACCGTAATGAAAAGTGATGATTTTTTAATGTTTATACGAAATTATTTATACTGAGAAAAATATCAGTATCCTGAGATAACAAATACAAGTAAATCTTCTTGAAAGTTAGCATCCATATTTTTAAACGTGTTAAAACGCAAACCCTTAAATATATCGACTTAAAAACAAAGTGACTTGTGCCACTTTCAAAATAAACAGCTCATATGTTTAAAAGAAAGTATAAAAGTCATTGTTATATATCCTATTTTCTCTTTAGAATTACTGTTCTATCTACTGATCAGATATTTAAGCCTCAAACTGTGATAGTGGCTGTTTTGTGTTCTGCTTAGTTTTGGTTTCTTGCAAGCTACGTAGTAGATAAAATATTTTTCTTTGCCCTGCGTAAGTAAAGTTCTTCAGTGGTGGCACCTATGGGTATAAGGGCAGATATACAAAAAGATATGAATTCCACAACATTATTAGAAACAATGAAGCTGCGCATGTTGCCTCGTGCAGCTTCATGTTGCTTCATTTGCAATGAAGCCTCATGCTGCATATTTTGGAGTTGAAGAAAAAGAAAAGGAGACCGATGAGATTAATAAACCCCTAATTAATTAATAAACCTTTACCGAACACTAACGCCATAAAAGTTAGAAGATCGAATTCATTTAGATTTGTAACCGATAATGTAATTTATTCGAGCATTTCCCATGAAAGAATCTGAAGAGTCTCCAAAGATATTATTTTAATAATTATACATAATGAGTAAAGATGAATATTTATAATATTTATAAATTAGGAGTATCGTTAATATATTCAGCAACAATTTTTACTATTAGATACTCGTATAGTCACAATTTTAATTAATAAAAAAGAAGTGACGCCGCATTTGCGCCAAATCATTCTCTGCAATTAATTGCGTCATTCTCTGCGTCCTAATTCATACAACCATGCATTCGCGCTCGCCTTATTACTACTGTATTTATAATTTATACGTCCACGCACCGGTTCTGTGGCTCCTACTTGAGACGCGTGTTGGACGCAATCGAACCCGTATCGCACACGTGTATCGGGGCGCAGATATCCTCGTGTGAAACGACTCTTAGTGTTAACGTAGGTGGATACTGACCCACGACGATCCGTTTTGATCAGGAGTGAAATGCATGAATATCAGATGCGACATGACAAGAAAGGCAGCCGTCATTCGCCGTTAGGTCAGAGCACGCATTTTTGCCAATCATTTATCTCGCATCATCGACCGGCACGAAAGAAAGTTTAATGTAGTCGATCCGTGACGTATACAGGAGACACCCACGTGCTTTCGCCAATTGGATGAAATGCAAGCCGAAGCAGAAGAAGAGAGTGTGAGCGTATGTGTGCGCGTGATAGCGAGAAATAGAGAGAGAATAAGAGAGAGAGAGAGAGAGAGAGAGAGAGAGAGAGAGAGAGAGAGAGAGAAAGAAAGAACTGGAGCTAACGTTGAATGCGTAGAGTCGTAGAAGTTTTAAAGCAGTCTCTACCTCGTTGCACTTTCTCATGCATTTCAAATGCACCTACGTGCTCGCCGACTGAGAGAGAAGTTTTATCAGTCCGTGAATTTTCTTATTTACATCGACGTGCATATAGGGAAATTTTCCTGGGTAGACGAGTAAATAGCCGTCGTCGTAAAACGAGAAAGGTTTTCCTTCGGTCGAAAGTGGAACGCACCGTGGAACATGATTTGCACGTGTGTGTACTGTCGAAGAAAATTTATTTCTTTTTTATGCGCCGTCTCCACGATGCGCATGCATTCTGCTTTCATTGAGATATATTTTGCGCCGATTTTTTTCATAAATGCATAGAGTAGAAGATAACAGGATTTATCCAACGAGTCTGCTTCACAAAATTCTATCATCGTGTTTATTATTCCCTCTTTTCGGATTAGAATGCACAACAGTTTTCATTTATTCGCAAAATTCTTTGTCCCACCTGCTTCGAGCCTCTCAAATATGAAAGAGTGTATTGAACAATTGTCTCTTATTTTACAAAAACACGAAATACAAATTTGTTGCATCAGTTCCAAGATAGGCGACTAAATAAGCATTAATTTCTCCCTTTAATAGTTCTCATAAGTGATGTCCTACGATTCTTAAATTATTCGTTTCTATCATAATAAATGTGCAGTTCAATAAGTAAGAATCTTTTTACAACAAACATTTTACACTGTATACGCTTTCATCTACATTCACTCATCAAGACAGATTCACGATTAATCTGATTGGCAAATTAATCCTGTTAACTTCCCGTCCTATTGCCTACGACACAGGTGCATTTACGATAAACGTGTAAAGCCCAGGGTGTTCCACAATTACTTTAACAGCCGAAAATGAGGGGTAGCTGATGTCATTTGAAGTAACTTTTTCCTTTGCGGAAATGCAATCTGCGGCTTTGTTTACGAGTTATTAACGAAAAACACTGGCCAATGAGAGGTGACGGTGCGAGAGAGAGAGAGAGTCCGTGAGAGAGTCCGCAGCACGAGGCTTTGACAGATGGTCGGGACGGACTCGAGCCGCGTTCGAAGTATTGAACAAATCACGAAGCGAGAACTTCCCGGATTTTTTTTTATTACGTAACAGTGATATTTTTAAGAAAAACGCAGTTCACTTTTACTTTAGAACGTCTGAAGAATATTTACTAATTTTTCGGACCCGAAATAATAAGTAATTTAACCGTGACGGCCGTTTTAATTTTCTAGTGTGCATGACACCTCTTGTGTAACATATGAAATTTTTAAGCAAGGTGTACAGTGAAAATTAACAAAGTACGTAAATGATATTTTACGTAAATGATATTTTATTTTAATAATTCCGTGTCCGAACACAGTTCAACGAATGATTCGCAAAGCTAATTTAATAAATAATAATCGTGTTAAAGGAAGTAAG